TGGCACGGACCAGCTGTCCCCACTGGCAGCTCCTTCTGCAGGAAGGAGAGCCCACAGTCCCTGGGGTTTGCTGGGGCTCAGGGACCAGCACTGACCTGCTTCCCTTCGGACAATCCGTAGGAGGGCTGGCTGCTTTCCGTGCTTTCCTCAAATCCGAGTACAGTGAGGAAAACATCGAGTTCTGGGTCAGCTGTGAGGAGTACAAGAAAACCAAGTCACCAGCCAAGCTCAGCCCCAAGGCCAGGAAGATCTATGATGAGTTCATCTCGGTGCAGGCCACGAAAGAGGTATGTGCACTGAGCATTCCTTGGGCAGAGGCACCACCCTGAATTCTGAAGCAGCAGCACAGGCAAGCAGAGGTCAGTGGATTCACAAGAGATGAAGGTTCTGCTTCTCTGCCAGTTAGCAAGGACGTGGTGGGTTTTTTATTGATTTTATATTAAGCTTGGATAGAGAGAAGGTGTGTTTAGTTACAGCCACGTGGCCATCCCGTGTGCACACTCAAATGGGAGAGGTCTGTGATCCCAATGTTTCAGCTGCTCCCACGCAGTTTGAGTTTCCTGGCTGGCTCCATCCAGAGGGATGAGTGTCAGTCTCCCCTGACAGCTCTTCTGGTAGCAGGGATGCATTGGCTTCCAGCTTCTGCTGGGTACAGATAACAGATAGCAGATAACAGATAGCAGATAGCAGATAACAGATAGCAGATAACAGATAGCAGATTACAGATAACAGATTACAGATAACAGATAGCAGATTACAGATAGCAAATAGCAGATAACAGATAGCAGATAACAATTACAGATAGCAGATAACAGATTACAGATAGCAGATAACAGATTACAGATAGCAGATAACAGATTACAGATAACAGTTAACAGATTACAGATAACAGATAACAGATAGCAGATAACAGATAGCAGATAGCAGATAACAGATAACAGATAGCAGATAACAGGTAACAGATAGCAGATAACAGATAACAGCAGATAACAGGTAACAGATAGCAGATAACAGATAGCAGATAGCAGATAACAGATAACAGCAGGTAACAGGTAACAGATAGCAGATAACAGGTAACAGATAGCAGATAACAGATAGCAGATTACAGATAACAGATTACAGATAGCAGATAACAGATTACAGATTCTGGGCTGTCAAACAGCTATTTCAGACAACTGCTTGCCGAGCACACATGGTACAGAGACACTTGGATCTTCCCCTTCCTATTTGACCTTCTGGGACAGGTTCTACTGACACTGTCCCTTTGGTCCCCAGGTGAACTTGGATTCGTGCACACGGGAGAAGACGAGCCACAACATGCTGGAGCCGACACTGTCCTGCTTTGATGAGGCTCAGAGGAAAATATTCACCCTCATGGAGAAAGATTCTTACCGCCGCTTCCTCAAGTCCCCTTACTACCTGGACTTGGTCAGCCCGCCTGGCTCTGGATGTGGGCCCGAAAACTGCAAAAGAAACCACACTCACAGCTTAGACTGCAACTCCAACATCATCTCCCAGTGCGCCTGAGCCTGCAGCGAGGCAGGGCCGGGCTCTTGCAGAATGTATGGCAGCAAAAGCATTCATTGGCATGAAGCAACAGAGCTGTCTCCAGTAGCTGTCTAATGTCCCCGTTGTACCCATGTCATGCAACAGCCAGCATTTGTAACCCAATCCAGGCTCAGTGTGTGTAGCAAACCCTCCTCTGAGGTCGGTGTAGGGGCGCTGGGGTCTGTGTCTGGCAGGAGCTGGGGGCAGTCGCTGTGTGAGCCCTGTGAGCCCGGGAGGCTGCTGGGGAGCCGTGCCAGCCCTGGCACTGCCCACAGAGGGACCAGAGCGGCCGGGTCACGGCTCCTCCTGCGCTCTGGGTGGCTCCCAGACAGGTGTGGGCACAGAGGGAGCCGAGGGAAGCGCTGGGGACTGTGATCTCCCCTTTCCAATCTGCAGAGGGTTAGGTGAAAAGGGCTCGCTGTTCAAAGCTCCCAGGTGTCCAGGCTGCCAGGAGTGTTTGCTCAGAGCTCAGGCTGTGCTGCACTGCAGCACCAGGCACAGGAAGAGCTCCTGCTCTTTCTTGAAGGGAGACCAGAACTTTTTGGGACAGCCTCCCTCGGTTGTCACAGCCACAGTGGCAGGGAAGCTCAGCCTCCCTCGGTCACCACGGGAAGCTCTTGCTCCCTCTGTAGCACCACGTTCATGCTGGCCAAGGACCTCTCCTAGGGCCGTGCAGAGCTGTCACTTTTGGGGAGGCTCATTATTTCCTAAGCTGTTAATTGTGACCTTCACACTCCCAGGTTAAATCCTCCAGCAGAGCAAAGCAGAACAGAAATGTGTTCCTTCTCTGGCAGACAGCTGTGTGTTCCTGAGACTCCAGGGGTGCCATTTGGATTCAGCTTTGCCTCTCCTGGCTTGTGAGGAGCAGTTTGTGAGGGAGTAGGACCACAATATCTGAGGAGGAAAGGCCCTGCTTGGGAGTACTTGAAAATGTTGGAG